GGTAAATTATAGCAAATAACGTAATATTATGTACAATTTATAAATTGATAAACATTATAAAATAATTATTTAATTATTTTTAGTTGACGACTATTTTCTGTCTGTTATAACATTATTTATTTTCCTACTGAAATTAGCTAATATCATTAAATCAATGCTGTGCATAGTGCAGGGTGTTCCAGCACTCAACCGACCACACTGGTCGGAAACAAAAGATTCACCGCCCGTTGGTCGGAATGAGGTAATTTTTCAGAGTTCGAACACTTCAACTGACACAGAAAATTAAACTTTCAGTGGGCAAACGTGACAAGAAAAAATATGTCTGGCTCGTGCGGGAATGCAATTTCAGTCTCGGGCTGATTACTGCAGGCCTCGCCGTAACGACTCGTGTTGCAAACGATAGTYGTGACTTAAATAGCTCATCACTTCCCGTTCCCGCCCTTGCCAAACAACGATATTATACTATATTAATTTAATAAGTTCTAAGATTTTGAACTAAACGGTTATAGAGTTTGATAATTTGCGCAATACTGTTGCTTGCAGCTGTAGGTACAAATCATTATTATGTTGCAAATCGTATAATTATTTAGCTATTAAAACGGTTCCACTCACCGTCGTGCCATTGGAACGCCGCGTCGATGTTGTATCCCGCGCCCCGCCATATAGACATGTCTCGCGGGTAGTCAAGCTCCATCTGGTTAGTCTCATCGTCGCACCTCCAGTACATGGTGCCGCTGATTATGTAAGTTTTGCTGTTGTGCCCCCAGACGAATGCCGCGTCCACATGGTCCAACTCTTCCGGCAGTCCGAGCGTTGTCAACGGCTTCGGGTATCCTGGCAGAGGGTTGTTGCCGTCGAACAAGTAATATTGACGACCTGCGCGGGGAATGAGTGTTTAAACATATAGGTGTCACACAGCAATAATACTACACTACGATTATATTGAATCATTATGTAATATGATAAAAATGATAAAAAGAAATACAGATCAAGAAATATAGGTATATCATACAAACTATTTATTAAAAGTTATTATTTATAATTATATTAGAATTCGATATACTATACTTATAATAAGTACTGGGCAGTTAAGTCAATACTTAATTGTTTAGAAAGTTATTGTGTATTTTATTTTTTGAAATCTGTACTAATAATCGACCCATCCCTTGTGTAACTGGACTGGTCTAGTTAACCAAGAACCATATCTTCGATACYTCGACATGTGAAATATGGGGCCAGTGCCCAAAAAGTAACATATCGCTTAGGAGAAAATAAAAGAGGATGTAAAACCGTTGATTATTACTAAATGCCGAAAGTGAAATCATCGAGTTCGAGTCAGCTGTACCTATACTTTTATTAGTTTTTATATGTATTTAATGACGAAAAAATATAAATAGTTAGGTTTTAAATGTTTAAATGTTAATGTGCGWTAATGCTTAATAAGTAATAACTAAAAGTAAAATGGGTATAACTGACCTATGAAAAACACAATCTTGCCGTCTTGCCTTTCGTACACGGCATCCACCTGGTTCATGTTGTCGGGCAGGTTGTACCACAGCCGGGAAATTAGAGCCGGATATCCAGCGTATAGTCCCTTGGCGCCTAATCTCCATGTGTATTTGCCTTTGAAGAAAAACGTATCCTTTCGTATGATCGACACTGCATCGAAGGACGTGTTACAAAAGTCAGGTTTGTCGTCGACGACCACCGCCACGTTCGGTCGTCTCGGCGGTATTGTTCTGCTGGTAGTGGATGTCACGGGGGTTACAGTAGTAGTGATACCGGGCATAGACTTGGTAACTATTGTCCTGGCTGTAGTAGATATCGTCGGAACGGTAGTCGATGGATCCGGTCTCTGCGAAGTCGGGCTGTAAACTGGTATGTTACCCCAGATCTTGTCATTTTTAGCACCTGTTTAATTGAAACGAAAAATTAATTGATGTTAGGGAATTAAAATCGTAATCGTTGTTTTCTTCAAAATATCAAAAAAGTATATGTTGTCATTAGTTAACTGTAGTAAATTTAAAGTACTTTACGTCGTAGTTTTTCATGAACGTACAAACGAATACTTAATAAAAYGATTTTTTCTTTCAATAACGCATTTATTTCATATAATATATTTGGTCGGTAGACGGTAGGTCTTACGAGTAGTTAGCTACTGTTATTGTTATAGACAGTTTATCGTTTATGAATTATTTTATGAGAAGATACTATTAAGTAAACTTAGTAAACTCTACATATATTTGGAAAAGTTGAAGTATTAAAATTTCCGACGCATCGTTTGGATCAGAGTCCGACGGTATAAATATTATCACGCATTTGGTTTAGTCATGTGTAAAATGTAAAAGTATTGGAAAATACATAAATAACAGCAAAAGATTTTCCTGAACTTAAAATAATATACACCTGGARTCCATAAAGGGATTATCGCGTCGCCACACTTACCGTAAAGGATTTGTATGCCAATCCGGTCGTCGTTGGGAAGTTCAAAGTCAGATTTTAGATCTTGATACCACGGGAACATCAATGCGTCTTGTACCGATGAGTGTGAAAGACCAAGTGAGTGTCCGAATTCATGCACTGCCACCCTGAATAGGCTAGTTCCTGCAGAGACGCGAACAAAATTTTTTTTTATAAATTATATAAGTACATTAAGAATACAAAAATAAGGAATTCTGTTATAAGCAATAGAGTAAATTATTTGTCCTAATGATGTTTGCAAAAAATAATACGTGAGTCACGAAGTGCCATCACGCACACCGCACTAAAACTCAAGAAATGTAAATTATTGCATCTTATTTTATATAGTTACCTAAATTTCATTCAAGTAAAATAGAAAATTCTTTTCCTGAAATGGAATTTAAGTATTAACTGCATGAAGTTCATATCATTTCGTAAAAATAATGAAGGTATCAGTGAAGAAACAAAATGTCAAATAAATTTTTATACTCCTATACTATTATTTGGTAGATGTTTTTGAAAATTTCAGAAAACTTTTACTCGAGGACTTGACGGAGATTTGATAGGACTAGCTAAGTCTTATTTATACCATTGACAATAAATTTACTAAAGTAAGGGGATCAAATAACTTTTAACAAATACATTTTAATCATAGAAAACATAATTTATTCATGACTTATTATTCCGTGGTTTGTATATTTTCATTTAAAAGAAAAAAATTAATTTTGTYATAAAATAGTTCATATAGGATATATATCTCCCTCACACCTCCACCCTCATTTTGATCACCACTAGTACGTAACGTACTTATCAATTATAGTTTTACCTATTAATTATTATAGGTAAATGCAGTACATATATCATGTATTGACTATTGACCACTGACACTGACGTACAGTATAACTGTATAAGTAGCATACGGTGTACACGTATTGTCCTATACTGGTACTCACCATCTTTGCTTGTCTTGTCGGCCACCAGCCATTCTTCTTCCTCATCAAAATGAGCGTCTCCTCCTCGCCCAGTGCCCGGGAAAAATGCGTGAGCCAACACTTGACCCGGTCCATCGAACGGATATCCGTCTCCGTGGTAACCTCTACGTTAAACAGACGCACATTTGTCAGATTATATTACATTATAATGAGCCACGCGCACAATATTATTACATAAACTACACAAACATCACAAACCATATTAGGTTTATAAAAATCTGAAAACTATTAACCCGGAATTGAGTATAATATACAACGAATAAAAAATATATATGTTGGTTTCTTTGCCTACGCATAATATTCTGAAACGATTTGCATTCATTATGATGAGCCGCATAAGTTACATAATAAAAGCGACGAGCTATCATAATATTATGGCATATATAATAATAGGTATAATGGATAATATAATAAAATATGTTACTATGATTTATTACTAAAATGATGCATGTAGATTGTAGATAATATATGATATTATACTGTTATAGATAAAAAATCCATTTTGATTTGAAATTTATGTTTTTTTACATCGTTTCTGCTGAATTAGGATTTGAAATTTTTTGTTTTTTAAATATTTTTGAGATATCGTCCAGCTTTATTCCACAATCGCTACAATGTTAACACACATATCTATACATCACGCCCTAGTGATGTGGTTCATAATGTGTAGGCATTGAGACAGCACGTATAAGCCGAGCCCAACACTCACTTTTCGAAAAATACCAGTATGTCTGCAGATTCGCTGTTAACTTCTCGAAACGTGAGTTTGGAATATTTCGACCACACTTGAAACGCTTTGGTCAAGTCCGACCTCACCCATCCGTGGTCTACTTTGTCCAACCGCCTCGTCCGTAAACTGAGAACAAACAAACACCAATGGTACAGATTATTATTTTTGTTTTTATTTCAGGATCCGTATAAGATCATGAGTGATCAGACATCAGACGATGCGTAATGCACTAATGCCTGTACATTATTACAATAAATTATTGTTATAATAATATGACATATTATTTGCAGTTGCAYAAGTCACAAATGCGTGTTACTATACTTTACTAGAATTCGTAGTATTTATATTCGTAATTTTTTTAATTTGGTGGTGGAAAAGTGAATTGGCGGAAAAGGTAAAGGTATACCTTTGGTGGAAAAGAGAATTGACCAATTTATGGTTTGGCGCAAAAATGAATCGGCGGAAAAGGGAAAGGTACACTTTTTGCGGAAACTGGAAATTCCCCATTAATTTTAATGGCTTTTCATGGCAGCTCCGTCTAGCTGAAGATTTGAGCTGCTGTGATGGTCAGTTCATTATACGTTCGTCGWACGTGTAAAAGTTTAAAATAATTTGGTAGTAGTAGATGGTGCTGCTATTGGCGAATTAATTTTAATTTAAATAATAATACCGGCCAAAGTCGTTACCAGCGTTAGGTTAAATTAAACCTCAATTAACCGGACTAAACTTCACAAAATTTAACCAATCCCGACTAAACCTCACCAATAACCAAGCTATATAGCTGGACTAGCTGAAGCTTTCTCTGTTTTCTTACACGTGAAACTGTTTTTCTATAGTATGACTTCATGATATACACAACAACCAACAATGAATTGACAAACATGAAACCAATTGTAAGTTACGTTAGTTGTAGAATTTAAGCATATTTAAGATTTAAAATTAAAATTTTTCTAAATATTTTATCAAAATATCAAAATAATTTGTGCCTATTTTGAAATCTTTATAAGCGGTTGTTTGGCATCCTCGTTTAAGAGTTTAAGGCTCAAAATACTGAAAATAATAAAACTCATCACATAAAA